GAAGCCGGCACCGGCTTCGGAGCCATGGGGACCATAAAAATTGGAATAGGGTTTCGGGGGCATATTATACCATAATTATGATAAGGAACCCCCCCAAAATAGTATAGGTAAATATTAAGGCATCTTATACTATAATTATAATAAGGAACCCCAAATAGTATAGGTAATTATAAGGCTCCGAAATCTTGGCTGACTTCTGAAACCCTCCAAAAAGTTAAACGTTTAGCATCGCTACTATAGTTCATATAGAAACCCGAAACGTTAAGGTGCTAAGAGCCAACCAGAAGAACGCCAAGATATTATCTCTGCAAACCAGGTGGCATCAGGCTTCATGCGGCCAAAGACCTGTGCAACTTTGGGCTTTCTGGAGCTCAAGATTTTAGGGTTTAAGGGCTTAGGGTTTATAGGTTTAGGGTTTAGGGTGTCGGGCTTAGGGTTTAGGGGGGCTGGCGTGTTCAAGAACGGATCGGACCCACAGTTGATGATCGTAAGCACCCATGGTGGTTTCTGTCCTCGCACAGTCTCCGCCTAATAGGGTTTAGGGTTTTGGGTTAGGGTTTAGGGTTTTATCTTCGCCGATTTCCCGCACTACGTTCGAAGAAGCGAGGCTGTAATGTGCTAGTGGCCCACGCGCAAGCCCACATCAGCTGACGTTCAAACCAACATGGCCTTCGATCAACATCACAGGCTCGAACGCGAACATAACATCAACACCCTCAGCCCTGTTGAATAAACAAGCAGGAAGGAGCAGGACATGTGTACCAAAGAAGCATTTGGGCTTACAGTGTTTTGGTTCTGGGGTTTGAGGTTTTAGTGTTGTGTTCCGCTGCCGTAGTATATGGCATTAAGAAAAGTGTCGAATCATTGCCTGAGACCATGCGCGAAGTAGGGTAGGGCTTAGAAGACCATAATCTCCTACTGCAGAGGATTTCATGCTGCGTGTTCGCAGGTTTCCGCGGCTTTGAAGTTAAGGTTTGTCTTTCGGTCCAGAAAAAAAAACGGTACCCAAACCCCTCCCTAAACCCTAAACCCTAAACCCTAAACCCCTAGACCCCTAAACCCCTGAACCGCTGCCTTAACTGCAGGGAGCATCTCGACGAGCTCTTCCCGTTCCTCTCGCAGCAACCTCGATGGCTTGCACCACAGGAGGCTCTCAGTCATCGTTACAGAGTACCCATAGGCCCCATTGAGGCTTTGGAGTTTAGGGGTTTTGGGTTTAGGGTTTAGTTCGGGTTTGGGTTTAGGGTCCATAGCTGTTCTTTTTTGGGGTTCATAAATAGAACCCTGTAATCCCAGAAGGAACTACTACGGGGCCTATGGGTAAGCCCTAGACCCTGAAACCAATTAGGGGTAGAGAGGTGAACGAGGCTGTGTAAGAATAGCGGAAAGACAAGGGTACGCATAGCAGAAAAGGCTGGGGCAATAAGAACGGAAGCCTCGGGAAATATCACGGATCCCTGTTACAGCCTATCAGTACATATTCTTAGAGGTGAACCTATCACTATACTTCGAAACCCTAAACCCTAAAGCCCTAAGCCCCAAACCCTAAACCCTAAACCCTAGACTCAGGTTGAAGATTCGAGCTGGAGGCTTGAGGCGGCTTGAGGTTGGTCGCCGGAGCTGCACAGGCAGAGTGCTTGTAGTACTACTGATACTCTTACTCCTACTCCTACTTCTACTCCGACTCCTACGCCTACTCCTGCTCCTCTTACCACTCCTGCTGCTTGTGCTGCTACAGCTACTCCTACTCCTGTTGCATCGCAGCTCTGCCAGACCTGTTAATTACTATTATCTCTGTGATCACTATGCACCTACCGGTTTCACAACCATGATGAACACATGGCAGAGCAGTTGTTATGGTCGCATTTGCCGATAGCTGATGTTGTGCTGCACCCACCAACTTCCCACTGTTCTCCCAGCGGCCATCGAAACGCGGACTGGCTCAGCGCTAACCTCAACTTGAAAGTTTTCCCTCTGTGCTGCAACTCCACGAAGGACTGCGTTAAGGCTGTTCTCTGGAGTGTTAGTGCAATATAGTCTCTCTAGGACCAACTAGAGGACGGAGCAAGTAACATGGGGATGGTGTTAACTAGCTGAAACTCTGAACTCAAATAACAAACGAACATTAGCCGAGGGTCCGCAGAAGATACCCTAAAACTCGTCTTTCCCCATTACCGCATGGGACATATGGGCTCAAGCTGCCTGGCGCGCATCTAACCGAACCTTGAACCCCGAAATGTCAAAGCCAAAACCCCAGCAATGCCTAAGCCCAACGTTGTTGACTTCTGATTGAACCCCGCTTGTCTGCAAGCATCCTGCGCGCGCCGCTTTGCACGTGGCGGAAAAAAATGTTTCAAAGGTGATTGCCTTAAAACAATTTCGTCCGGCCCGAAAGCCCTTCACGTCAGTAGCCGCCTTACACCGGGATCAGTGGCACGTTTGCTGCATTTCGATCGGGAGTTTCGGCTAAACCCCTCCAGGCACTGAGCCATATCGATCAAATCTCTCCCACCAAACCCGCTAACATGGGGGCCATAATTTGGCCATAATACGTAGAATTGTGTTTTGGGGTAATTCTTACGCCATCGTATAAGCACAGGAATAGTATCGGTAAGGCCTCAGACTTCTTAATTATTACAGCCACCATAGACCCTAAATCCCTCTCGCTCATCCCGAACCCGTAAAAGCTCTGAACCTTGGACTGAGCCAGACGGACCTAATTATTATAGGGCCCCTAATAATTAGAATAGGGTTTCGGGGCATACAGTAACTATAACTATAATAATTATTAAAGCCCCTATATCATAAGGTCCCTGCTCAACTCCTTCACGTCTCCAGGTCGTAGCTGATGTCTCCTGTCCCAGTCCAAGCGCGTCATGCGGGGGCCTAGTCTTAGTAGTTAGCATAAGGTTGCTTCAAGGGTTCATTTTGACGGGGTCCATCAGGGTCAATTCCTATAAGCCTATAAGGGTTCTATAGAGGTTCAGCGGCAAAGGTGCCTTGATGATCAGGACAGGGTTTTGTTTTTTTTGTGTACTGTCAAAATGAGAAGGAATTCTGCGTGTCTAGGATTGGGGTCCCACGGGGCTTGGGCATCGGCGGTGAAGGACTCGCAGGAAGGCTTTCGGGTGCTTAGTTCGGGCCTGGTAAATTAGGGTTTAGGGTTTACGGTTTAGGGTTTAGGGCTTAGGCGTTTCAATCTCTCGATCTCGGGTTTCTTCGAGTGGTACTGGGGTTTGGGTTTGTGACGCGGATGGCTGAGGACTCTGACCACAAGCCCTCAACCCTGAGGCCTATATGGGCTCTAAACTCAAAACCTATGATACAATGGGCCTGAATAAGAAGAGGGCTGTTTAGAATGTTTATATTATACGATAGCAATAATAATAAGGAACCCCAAAATAGTATAGGTAAGTATTTAGGCCCCTATTCTAACTATACTAACTACACGGAAACGCAGGGAATGATCTTGGGTAATTGTTCAGGCGGCTAGAGAGTAAGGAAAACCCGAAGCCTGACTCCGCCGAAGCCAACTCTTCGGAGGGGTTTAGGGTTTAGGGTTTAGGGTTTAGGGTTTAGGGTTTAGGGTTTAGGGTGAATAGTTTAAGGAATATACCTTAAATCATAGTAGGGTTTGGGTTTTTTGGGGTTTAGGGTTTAGGGTGGATCACTAAACAAAATTAAGGTAGATTCCTCAATCAAAGGACGTCGGAAGGTAATATAAAAGCCTAAATTTTACCAATATTATCACCTAGGGTTCCTTGTTATACCTATACTATACAGAAGCCCAAAGCCGCATTCTAATTATTAAGGCCCCTAACCCCTAAACCCTAAACCCTAAAAGCCTAAACCCTAAGCCCTAATTCAGGGATGTCGGAAGGCCCCTACACTAAACCCCTTATAGAACCTTTGTAAAACAAAACCCTTATAGCGACACTTTAAAGGAACCCTATCCTACTTATGAAGGCCTAAACCCTAAACCCTAAACCCTAAACCCTAAACCCTAAACCCCTAAACCCTAAACCCCTAAACCCTAAACCCTAAACCGGTGCTCCTTTGTGTCCACATCCCTCCAGCGGATGCCGCTGCTCTCCGGACTCTCTGAGCATTCTCCAATCAGAACCTGGGTCGGCTCCGAGGCTCCCTGAGGTGGGGCTTAAGGTTTATGGGGTTTCGGGTTAAGGGTTTAGGGGTTAGTGGTTGGGGGTTTGGGGTTTAGGGGTGTAGGGTTTACCTGTAACCGGCTTGGCCTACCGTTCTCTCGAAGGGGCGAAAACCAAACGAATATACGGGACCTTAGTCGAAAACACGCCCCTTATGCAAATAACTCAGGTTTTCGGGTTACTGGGTTTTTTAAGTTTCCCACTATTCTGAAGCTTGATGCTGTGGGATTTGGGCTATGGCCTTTGATGCAGTGCGCTTGCTTCACATTGGGGCTCAGGTTGTTGAAACATAACATCATAACCTTCTGAAGATCGACACCTTTCATATGAATCAGTTCTGTGGAGATAGAGGACCATTGCTTTCGAACAGATTTCAACATAATGTTGTAAACAGATCCCTCCAAAACCTGTATATAGGCTTAACTTCTCAACCCCCCAGATTCTTCAAGCCTGATCAAGCGAATGCCGTGGCGGCCAACTCCATTTCGCTGCAGCTGCTGCGGTTGCAGGCACATCTTGACTTGAAGGCTTTGGCTCGGGAGCATTAATTGGGACTGGAGAGTATATATAAGCAGGAGTGGCTGAGTGATACAGATGTGTTAGTTGTCACAGGAGAGAGCCCTCAAACACACGTGTGCAGAAACGCACAGACACACACATTGCACGATACGGTCTTATGCCGCACCGTTTGCTTGCAACTGCAGATGTGTTGCTAGTAGCGCACGGTGAATCACACGGTCATGTACCATCCTTGCATTCACCCTCCTTGAAACCCGCGAGGGTTTCCCCACGTAGTCCTCCTGCATCTGTACCGATTCCCCTAAGGGGTTTCGGCACCAGGGGCTTCTGCCCGCATCATCTTCGATCCTTTTCCCCACATGACTCAGCATGTGGAGCTTTGGAACCAGCCTAAAGCGGTTCTTTTGCATCCGAGCACATAGCCATGCACATTTCTGGTAAGCGAGCAGAAAGATCTGGACCATTTGTGCGAGCTTGAGGCCTTTCTCGGAGCGGATCCAAAAGCCTTCAGCATACAGCTGGGAGAAAAACCAGTTCATGGCTGTCGTAGCTCGCACCTGAGATGATGTAGCCATATAACTAAAACACCTGCACCTTGAAGCCACCACAAAAATTCAAATTTGTTCATTAACTTATTATCTTTAGAAACTGTAGAATTCTCTAGAAAACCCCAACAACTTCCTCGAAACAATGTCTATGTAGACATACAATTGTACTTGATTTGCAAAAACAAGCACAATGGAAAGAAACATCTCATCCTCGGTCTGGCCCACCACAAACCTCTGCAGCAGGTCGGCGAGGAAGAGCATCATGTTGCTGGAGACAGCACCTTTTGACCAGTGGGCCACAACACTACTTTTCTCAGACTCAAAGGAAAACGTGTCTTTGGTAACCTCCGTGATGTACGGCGTAAGTCTGTTGGCCCTGCAAAAGGACACATACATAGTTCCCAAACGATGAAACTTGGCATCCCAGCTCCTGTCATCGAAAAACTGTGCGATCACCTCAACCATCGCCGACCCCAAGAAGTACTTTGCAATGCCATAGTGAAAGGTGTGCCAAACATCAATAGCAAAGAAAGCCTCGGCTGCCCCTCGGATCACCGGAATGCCGGTGATGATCTTGGGCTCGTCCTCCCATGGGACCATCTGAAACTCGGTCTGTCGCCAGGATGCAGCAGGTCCGAAGTCTTCCCATGGATGGAGGGATCGATTGTTAGCACCCTCACAGCCAGCGAGGCACAAATGGCAAATGCCAATGCATGCCTTCTTGGAGCTGGACTGCTTGGGGCATCGCGCGTAGTTGCGTTCCAAGTTGCCTAGTCGAATCAGAGCTGGAAGATCACCTTTCGTAGAAATCTGCGCACACCAAATCCGAATGCTTTTATCCTTCGAAGTCACGCCCTCGGTGGCCAATTTGCACATGTCCTTGGCGAAGCTTGCCACAATCTTCTCCATGGAGCCGGCCTGTCTGTTTTGCAAAGCTCGTGTCATCACAGACACCAAGAACTGGTTGCTCCACGTGTTGCCCTCGAAATTGAGTCGCATGCCATCCTCACGGATGTCTTGAGGGGTCGGCACATTTTCCTTGTTCTTCTTGGTGCCAAATCCCAGAGCACCATGGCATGAAAGGATCCAAAAAGCTCTCTTTTTCAGCGTCCNNGATTGGCAAGGTGAACTTGAGGTCCAGCTGGCCCGAGTCAGCCAGTCGCCACAACTCATAGTCTGGCTCCACCAGTCTATACCGGCGCCAAAACTCACCAAGCAACACATTCATTTTCGCGATGTCATTTGTTCCACAAAGCTGGCCGAGCTGCCCCCTGTCCAGCAGATATCTGACCCAATCAGAAAAATTCAAGAAGGGAAACTTCTGCAAGGGACCGGGGCCAATGTTTATACTTTGCACGCGCAACGGAGCGGCTAAACCATACTTCCTGAAGATTCGGTGGGCTCCCTCCTCGGCATCATTTTCGCTGACAGCAGCGAACTCCCGCAATGCAGGCGTATGTCCATCAGGACTTTCTAGAAGAGTGGCCTTGGCGATCTCGACGACGTGCTTGCATGCGGCCTCGGCGGTCGAAAGCTTGAAATTCGGGGTTCGGTGTCCTTTATCTCACAGCATGAACTATCCGGAGCACACATCGCTTGCGAACACAAAGCAAACAGGAGTTCTCACCGACAGAGACAGGCAGCTATATC